CTTCGCCTTTTTAGATGAAATAAAATATATATATATCTACAACAATCATAGCAATGGAGATAGATGCTCAGCAAATACTAACCACAAGAAAGAATTTCACTACATAAAATGATAAATGCATAGATGAATTTGGTTTAGAGTTTCTGATAGCAGACCTTATTGGATGGAGTGGAGTGATCAGATAGAGTTAATAAAATCTTAGCCATCATAACAGTCATCAAACTAATAAAGAAAATATTTATTATTCATCATCTCGCTCCGCTAACCAACAAACTAGTGGAAATTATATGCAAAATAACTAAGAGAAACTGAAAAAAAAAAAAAAGAGAAGCCATAAAATCGATTTAGAGTTTAGAGTGTCTGAAAAAAGACCTTATTGGATGGAGTGGAGTGATCAGAAAGAGCTAAAATAATCTTAGCCATCATAACGGTCATCAAACTAATAAAGAAAAGATTTACTATTCATCATTCTGCTCCACTAACCACCAATCTAGTAGAAGTTATATGCAAAATAACCAAGTAAAACTGGGAAAGAAAATGAGAAGCCATAAAATTTCCTAAGTGATAGCATCAATGGAAATAGAAATTGAAATATCATTTGCACATTACCCATTTAACATTTAGTTTCATCATTTGCCTATCAAAAACTTCTAAAAAACAATTTCAAGAATATATCGATGAGATAACCTAAAGCTATATCGTATCAATGCAAAGTGTGAAACTCAATAATCCTGAATAAGCTGCACTCAAGAGAAGCCCACGAAAGGCCACAAATAACTTAAAAAAAAGGGGATTGGCTCTGAAATGTTTATATAATGTAGAAAATAAAAATAAGTTTATATTTGCTTTGGTCTTTGTCTATGAAAGTTCTACTGAGGGGAGCTTATGTTTTAATGCTAAAATTCAGCATTCATAAAAATAACAGACATCAATAGAAATTAACTTAAAATAATTTCATCATAGCAGCATGGCTAAAAAGAAATTAAAAATTTAAATAGTATTAGTGTATAAGCCATGTGAATTTTAATTAGATTGAAATAAAAGTGAATAACATAAGAAATATAAAAATGAAATTATAAGGTAAAAAACATAACTTGCCGAACAATAAACAGAGGTGTTAAGCAAGAGTTAACAAAAAGTATAACAAAGTGAACAACTAGCAAACAAAGTAGTTAAAAGCTAAGCTAGTTTCATCATTGATGAGTTACTTCTAGAACATTCCATTAAATGCAAGTGTGACTACTTATATGTTTTATAATTATTCAACCTTAATGATTAATAAATAAAAGTGTAATCAATCTTATTGATTAATTAATAAAAGTGTAATCAGTCAGCTGAAACTATCAGAAAAAATATAATTAAACTTATAAAAAATCAGAACTTCTGAGTGCTTCTGAAATGGGAAATATATAAATATTAACGAATATAGTTTAAAATATCATATAAATCAATGTTATAGTCTGCAGCTTTTATTCTATGCTAAAAAGTAGAATGCACGTTGGGGTCTGATGATTAATATTAATCAATCAAGCTTACATACTAACTAAATTGTTACATGACATGGCACAAACAAAAAAATCAATGTTTAACACAATTCCATGATGCATATTCAAGTAGTAAGATTTTAAGAGATTTATGTTATAAACTTTTAATGCATCATGTAATGAACAAAAAGATTTATAAAAACCTCATTTGTTTTTTCTTACATAAAAAATGTTACTTTATTTGACTTCATTATAAAGAAACCTGAGTACCAACGACCACACAGAGAAATTTAAGAAAATAAAGAGGGTTGTGACCATTTTTCTCAACAACTGAATAGCTTGAAAGGATAAACGATAAAACAAAAGTTCTATTTTCTATCTTCACCTCAAATAAATTACAAGTTTTGAATCAAAACTCAATATTCTCAAGTTTTAGCTTGACTCAGACTGGATTTGAAATCCAGATCCATTTTGAGTCAAGCTGGCTCAATTCATATAAGAATTGATGTCGAACAACTAATATTTAGTTTGAAACAACTAAAATTCCTAAATTGCTAGAGCGCACAAATCGACTCAATATCTTTCAGCTAATTAGCTTATTCAAATGTAATTATTCCTACATTTTAGCAACTTGCACGAAAATAACTAAGTAATTCATACAACTAGAACCATCTTAACTTTGCTCAAGAGACAGCTTAGAAATGAAACAAGATTTAAATAAGTTTATATTTAAGATACACAGATGCGGTGTGAAGGGTAGCGGGGCTACGTGAGGTTGTTCAGGCAGCCGGCGTGAATTAAGGATCCAGAGCAGCAGAAAGCGCAGAGCGGTGCGCACGCAAAAGTGAAGCAGTGGCAAGCGGATTCATGCGAGACAGTAAGAGATTGCTGGAACGTGCGTGTACGCGGAGGCAAAGTAGTGCACAACGGGCACGAAACCAGCTGCTGCTCTGTGAAAATAGCAAGGCTATCGGAAGCTGGGGCGCTGTGAAACAATGTCTAAGCAAAGTGATGGGTCTTGGAGGCCTGGGTTGTAGATCACACGTGCGGAACGGCGGAAGTGGCAAAGAGATGTAGCATTGGAGGAAGATGCAACGTGATCGTTCCCTAAGGGTGCCAGCAAAAGAAATTTTCAAGAAGAAAGCCTCGCGGCTGGCGGCTGGCGGCCGGCGGCTGGTTTGGGTCGTCTTTTTTTTTTGGTCGCTAACCTAGATTTTCGCTGTCAATTTGAAATTTAGAGGAAAGGTACTGCTTATGCTGTAGTCTTAGGAACCCCTCTCTAAACGGTGCCAGCGAGTTCATAAGTGCTCAAATTCTACTTGGGTTAGGCAGAGTTTGATCAATTCATATAAATAATTCGAAGCGATGAAATCTGTAATTTTAATAATTAATCTATATTTAGGAAAAATTAAGGAAATTCAATATAAAGACTAATAAAAATTAAAATTGAGCACATTGGTCGCGTATTGGTCACGTATTGGTCGCGCATTAGTCAAGGTCAAAGAAGAGTCAGCTTATTATAGAATATTTCTAAAATAGGTTTTCATGCAAGGAGACCTTTCTTAGCAAGTTAAAATTAATTTCTTAGATCAGCTACAATAATATAGTTATTACATGAGGTTGCCCAAAAGTGAATATCTGTTTTGACTTGGGATTCATCAAGAGTTTTGCTCTTAAGACAAGTTGTCAACATGGGTAATTGTTACAAAGAACTTGTGAGTTAAGACTTTGAGAACTATTCACTATTAATGATAGGCTCTCAAGACAAGATATTAGTGATGACTGACCTGTTAGAAAATGAGAAAGTGTTAATTGAAGATAGACAAAACAACTTATTGCCAAAGGTATTTTCTTAAATACATGTCATCATTAAAAGACTATCACCTAAGAAATAATAGTGTTGGACATGGTTGATTCAATAACTCCTCTAAGGATGAGTTATTGAGACGAGTCATTTGCAAGGGATGGCCTCTCAAGGCTGGAGAGTGTGTGAACTAAGATTGGCCAAAAACACAACTCAATTTCTCAAAGTAAGATCGTTGAGGCCTCTCAAGTGAACTCATTAAGAATAGATGAGTAATTACGATAAGTAACTAAGGTAGTTACTTCTTCAAAAAGACAATGTTTGACCATAATCATTTAAAAAATGTTCATTGAATTGATCGAATAAATTGAAAAAGACCAACTTCCTTAACTTGTTTAGTAACAAGTTTTTTAAAAACTCATATGAAACTATCAAGTAAAAGATAAAGGAGTTAACATTATACATAATCAACTAGGGTCTTGATAATTCTATCAGGACTAGCATATTTCCAAGCAAGGTTCACCAAAAAGTGTTGGATAAAGGTTTTTAGAACAACCAATCCAAGGCATTGAAACTGAGGGTTTGGCCTTATGGCTCGCATGATTAGGCTATTGAATTAAAACTCTTTAAATAAGGAATAAATATAGATAATATAAACTGGTTATTTTCTATATAATATTGGGAGTTGACCTAATGTTATTGTATTTAAATTTGATTGTAATCATTTTGAGAGTAGCCTCGATGAATCTCATTTAATCACATTTAAGCATATAATTTGATTTCTTACAAATACTTTGCATCATGGCTATGGCATTAAAATAACTTATTGCTTTATGACTTAGTTGTTTACACTGATGTTGAATATCATGTTTAAGAAATTGATTAGAAAAACACATATAACACATTTCATTTTATTGGGTCTCTCTAAAAAGTAAAATGTAATATCTTCATCCACGCTAGAGTATGATTGCATACTTGTGGATTGCTATAAGACTCAATTCCCATGGTTTAAACAATAAATTAATGATTATTAACTTTGAATTAAATGCATTTTAGTTGAGTGTAATAACATTAGAATCTTCATGGTAAAAATCTTATTTAGTGCTCGTCAACTAAACATATTAAGTTTAAACTACATTTCATTAAATATTATGTCGTCAATAACGGTGTCGATGTTAACATAACATGAGTAAAGCTCTTTGATAACGTAAAACAAATCATGAGTGACTAAAACAAAATTGTTGTGATGGGCCTTCTGAAGATGCACAAACATTGACAACATCAACTTAAATAGTGGGGTGAGGAACTCTTAAAAATAATTATTTTATAATTTTCCTTTATTGTCCTACTTGTACCATAAAAAATCGTGAATGACTTGAATATAATATAAAATTTCATAAAACAATTAAACTCTCTTAATATCAACATATCATAATCTTTTTTTTTCTTCCTTTAATTGTTCCATGGATTAGCAAAAATAATATTTTTATGCTAAAATAACATTAAACCAAGAGGTGGTACTTACCACAGAGATGGCACAATTCTTAATTTCCAATTAATATAAGACATGCTCAAAACAGCCACTACATTATATCATAACCTTAAATTGATATACAATATAAGGAAATATTGAGATAATTGATTTAATTACTATCATATCATTCACATCCGCAGTTTAAATTTATAATATACCGTTAAACATTAAACTTAAAATATCACACATTTAATATAATAACTAATCAAATTAATATTTAACAATCACATAACCATCTAATTACTTCAAGATTATACACGGGAACACACATTTCTCAGTAGATTTGTACAAAACAGGCTTGCAATCCTCATACCCACCAAGAACGTGTAATGTAATTTAGGACAACCACAACCTGTGCATATCATGCAGCTGACTGAAACTAGTTGATTTCAGGGACAAGCGAAACATCTCCCTCAGTTTTACACCATCCCAAACTTTAACAGCAGGCGCAGGCTGGCTTGTCCCACCAGTTTTGTTGCAGCCACCTGAGAGAGAAGAGGATAGCATGTTCTTCAACAGATTTTGTAACTTACTCCAGAATTTTGATTTTATCTGTGAATCCTCATCAATTTCAGAGTCTTTATTTGTTCCTATTATCAGTCGTCCATCAAGTAGGTGAAGTAGGGCAGCTTCCAGCATCTGCCAAAAAAAAAAGGTTTGAGTAAAAAGTAAAAAATGTCTGTTGCTGCTTTTTTTCTTTAATAAATCTGAAAATCAGTTGTGTCAATCTTTTTACTGAATTCTAAAGGCTGACCATAGCCAAAATTAATAAAGTGTAAGAGAAAAATTTACTAAGACTTTCATCATAATGGTTGAGAATTTTAAAGCTTTTGCAAGGTAAATGAGTTTATCCGATATCTACAGCAAATGGAATAGCCTAGTCCCTAGGAAAAAATGCTACACGGGGATGTAGAAACGGTAAGCACCTACAGAAGAATAAACAATATGCAAATAAATGAAAAATCTGGAGCTCCATTTCAAGTGATCTTAATATATACAAGAAATATGAACTATGTCCAATTATAAATGAACATCTCTACAAACAAATCATATATACATGTTAGCTTTGGGCATATCAAGTGGACTCAAATAGAAGAATGAAACATCGATTGTTTGAAGCGTTACAACACAACAAAGATGCTTTCTTCAAAAGAATTGATTATATGATTTTGAAAGACAATTCACTTCGGAGAAAAGTTCTAGAAGATAAAAAAAAAAACTCCAGGCTTCTAATATACCGACAAAGCTACTAAACTTTTAAGTTTCAAAAGCAGCATATGCTTAGTGATGAAATGGTTAACAGGTAGAGGAATGAATAACAGGGAGGTAGAAGAAAAGTCTGGAGAAGCTGAAACATTTTTTTTTTTTTTTTATCTCAAAGAGGTCATTGTAGTTTTATAATCAAAATCAATTACTTAGCAGAGGAGTGGGTGTCAGAGATTGATTGGGAGGCACCATCCTGTAAATCAGGAATGCGTCTACACGAATCTCAAGAAGTGATTGAAGTCATAAAGAACATGGATTATTCGCCATACAATTGGTCGGGCTCATAGCCCGACCGAAAGAAGAGAATAAACGACCCAACAAATACTGCACGACTGCGTCAACACCTACTTCCCAGTGACTACCATCATGAAATTTAGCAACCGCCCAGGATGAGGTTCTTCAATATAGACACAAAACGACGGTAAGCTGCTTGCTGGATTATGGTGATTCACTCTGTACCAGATGAAATAGTCCTACTCAAGGACGATGTGTCTTCACATTTGGTCTCCACAGAATGGGTAATCGAAGATCATTAAGTCGACCAAAAAAAGGTTTGGCAGGCCGAATGAATCCTGGCCGACCGAAAAAATTCCAAACAATCAAATTGGACAGTTATGAATGAAGAAAAGTGTTTGGCAGTTATAGAAATATAACAGTGCTAACACGGTTACAAAGTCAGAATAAATGTTATTGAGTTACAAATGTGTAAATGTAAAAACTCATTAATTATAGTAACACCCCCTTTTAAATGGGGACAACCGTGTAATTTACGAGATCCTACCTATGAACTATAAATAGAAAAATCATTTTCAAGAAAAAGGACTCCGAATGAAATTCTCACAAAAAATATAGTGCTTAAATCTTCTTTCATTCTCTTTCATCCAACTAACGCTTTATTCCTTAAGCTCCACATGACAATTTAGGATCCATCCTAAAAGTGCAGGTGGAATCATGCATTCTACAAGACGAGAACCATGTCAGGGTGAAGGAACACATCAAGGAGATATCTCTAACACGGAGTCTGTCCGGAAATTTGTACATCAACAAATCCAGGGACTTCATGACCGGATGGCCTGACAAATTGTCGAGCTGGCCCAAGTGGTGCTCGAGGGAAGGGCACATCTTCTCCCGCAACCTGATCCGCCAACACCCGAGACTCAAGCCCAACAGGTAGCCCAAGCATTCGAGCGAGTGGAGGAGTCTTAGTACCACGACAGTGTCCAATCCACACAAAGGTAGAACCACACCTGAGAGCGATAGAAGTCTATCACTAAATGGAGAATGTGTTTGTAATGTAAAAGCCATGCCACCTTAAAAGTTTAAGGTTCTCACCTTGGAACCATATAAAGGTCTAAGCGATCCCACTGACCATATTGTGCCCTTTGAGTCGACAATCTGTCTTCTCGAGATCATCGACACATTACAATTTCAGCTATTATAAATTATGCTAAGAGATTCTGCTCTCAAGTGGTTCAATGGGCTTTTCCTGTAGGAATTATTAATTCCTTCGAAGACTTGAAGAAGTTGTTTGTGGCGCAGTTTGCAAACGCCAAAGCCATGAAAGGATTCAGATTCCTTGTGATATATATATATATATAACAGGGACCGAACGAGAGCCTACGGGTATATGTTACATGGTTCTAGAAGAAGATGCTTGAGGTTCGGAACCTGTAGCCAGCAGTTGCCAAGACAGCTCTGGTGCAAGGAATAAAGAGTCCACAATTATGATAATTTTTGGGTTTAAGGAGACCCGAAATGTTGGTTGAACTCTTGGAGCTAGCCAACGATCATATTGTGGTCGAGGAGTATATGAACCAACTGATTTCCATAGATGACAAATCGGATTGACAGTCGGGCAAGAACAGGTCGAAGGATGATGGTGGAGAGAGAAAGACGACCATCATCCGAAGCACGAGAGAGGTTGCTCCTCCATAAGAGATAAAGAAGACGAACAAAACGAACACAAACGTAGTCGACCGAATGATCGGCCTATAGGGGACCGGACGACGTCCAGGTTTACTCCACTTTAAGTTTCTATGGTGGAACTCATAGACACAATAGAAGACAATGAGTCTTTTTGAAAGACGACTCTAATGAAAACCAGAGCTTCCCTCTGTAACCTCACAAATATTGTAACAATGAGACCATGGCACGATACTGGGGACTGCAGGCACCTGCGTAGCCTGGTAGAGGAGATAATCCATGCCAGAAAGCTCAAGGAGTTTGTAGCCTCAGAGGCTCAAACTCGTCAAAAAGGTAAGCCTCTAGCAGAAAGCGAATTGGGCGGGCCGATCTGAGCGAATGCCTTTCACATAGCAGAAATAGTACTAGCTACACTAGGAGGCGGTTCAAATGCTAGGGTCAACCGAAAAAAATCCGATCGGGGAATTAATGTGTTGTGATGCCCGTTCTAATAAATGAAACCACATCATTGTTGTTACCGCACTGATGAGTAATTACAAAGTAGGCAATAACTTTGTCAATACTGGGAGCTCGGGGAACATTTTATTTCAAGCCGTGTTCGAAAAGATGAATCTAACAACTGATCAGTTATTTGCACCGGTCGGCCCGCTGCATGGTTTCTCTAGCAAACGAAAGGAGTCACTTGGTGTAATAACGCTATCTATTACATGAGGAGAATATGAAAATCGATTTACTAACATGGAGGATTTTTTGGTGGTCGACACAGCACCAACCTACAATGCAATATTCGGTCGCCCTCTCCTCGACAATTTTCGAGTCATTGTATCAATTTACCACGTAGCTGTGAAATTTTCCTACGATGGGGTCATAATTACTGTACGTGGAGATCAAGAGCAATCCCAAACATATTGCATGCAAACCATAAGAAGCGTGGAGCATAAAGCATTGAACATACAACACCAACGAGGCCTTGAAACTGACGAGGCTATTATCAAAATCCCAGCAGGTCTAGAAGATCTCGATAAATTTTTTCTAATCAGTGAGACTTTTGATGCAAGTCACAAAGAAACGTTGATCCATATTCTCCAGGAACACCACGATATTTTCGCATGGACGGCGGATGAAATGCCCGACATTCCCTTCGACGTAGCTTGTCATTAGACTCAACGTCAGTTCAACCGTCCAACTAGTAAAGCAGAAGCTCCGGTCAATGGCAACGACTTTAGCCAAACTAATTTACGAAGTCAAGAAACCTTTAGAAGTCAGATTCATTTGAAAAGTTAAATGTCCTCCTGAGCATTTAACGTAGATATGGTGCAAAATCAAACAACAAATAGAGAATGTGTGCGGACTTCACAAATTTTAACACTGCTTGCGGGAAGGAGGGCTGTCCATTGCCTCAGATCGATGCTCTGGTGAACTCTGCAATTGGATACTTGGTCATGAGCTTCCTCGATGCTTTCTCTGGATATAATCAGATCAAAATACACCCAGCTGATGCGGAGAAGACAACTTTTATTACTATTAATGAATTGTACGGTTTTACTGTAATGTCCTTCAGGCAGAAAATTGCCGGCACAACTTACAAGTCCCTAATGGTTGTAATATTTTCTGAACAGAAAGAAACAAACCATTAGATGATGTGCTAGTTAAAAGTAAAACAATCGAACAACATCTGTATTATTTAAAAGAAACCTTCCAAATGTTTACGAAGTTTGATATGAGATTAAACCTATTGTAATGCATGTTTGGAGCCTTAACAAGAAAATTCTTGAGGTACCACTTAACAACCATAAGCATTAAGGTTAATCCCAAGAAAGTAAAGCACTCCTCGACATGCCTTCTCCCTGTAACACATAAGAAGTGCAAAAGCTTACCGGCAGGATTACAGAACTGAGTTAATTTATTTCCAAATAAGGGGACAAATGTGTTGTTTTCTTCAACGTTATGTGAAAAGCGAAGAAGTTCGAGTGGGTGAACGAATGTGAGAGAGCTTTCGAAAATTTAAAGCAGTCGTTAATCTCTCTGTCATTGTTGCAAGGTCCAAAGCCGAAGAAAGAACTTTCATTTTACTTGGGAGTCGGTCCGAAAGCCATTAGATTGGTCCTCATCTGAGAGGAGTCAGGGAAGCAATTTCCCGTTTATTATACCATTCTGGTCCCTAGAGCACCCGAAATAAGGTATCCTCTCGTAGAGAAACTAATGTTTGCTCTTATTGTTTATGCTCGCAAGCTTCGACCATATTTCTAAACTCATCCGATTAAGGTGATCACTGACCATCCGTTTAAGTCTATACCCACCCGACCGGAACATTCGGGTCGATATTAAAATGGTATGTGGAGCTTAGTGAGTATGACCTTACGTCCCTCGAACGACAATCAAAGCTCAAGCTATGGCGGATTTCTTGGTGGAGTTCTCGGAATCAAGCAAATCGAGTGAAGAGTACCGAG